CCTTGAAAAATGCAACAGTGTAGATACAGAACACATGTGGGAAGCGGATCACGTGAAACAATTCGTGATACATTTTGGCCAACTCTGCTCCAACCCCAATACAAATAGTTTAATTGAATAAAAACAATTGTACTGGTTAACAAATGAGCTACTGAGGCCATGATACCCATCACCAGCCCATAAATTAACCCATATTCAAACGGGGTTTTCACCTAACACGATTGTTCTTTACAAAACCCTCAAAGCTTAGTTCTAAGTTCTCATCTAAATCTTCACACTTCCATCTTTTTTTTTTTTTAAAGCTTGCGTTGGACCCAGGAATGCATCTTCACAATGCTGATACTGGTACCAATTCTGTTGCCCAGAAAGAGGCTGAAAGCAGCTCCTCGACACCCTTGTCATCCATTTCCTCAGACATTGCAGTTGGACACAGGCCTGGAAGCTTCCCACAGCATTGGCACCTTATCCCATCTTGAGACAATTTTGGGCCAAGCTTGTTCCCTGTCAGGAGGTCTGCCACAAGGGTGAACCTGGCAGCCCGGCTATGGAGGTCTTCCGTACCTGGAACACAGCATACAAGACAGTCAGGGGCACGATGGCCACAACAGCTAATGGCGTGACCACTATTATCGCAATGTAAATCTCCAGCAGATGGAACATAAATCCAAGCAAGGACTTCAGCTTGTCTGGGAGGATGGAATCAATAGAGTCCATTTCTTTGGAGAAACGGTTCAGAAGGTGTCAGTGTTTGTTCAAAGAACATCATGGGAGATCGGACAACGTCCTGTAGAAGGCGTGCAAAGAGCTTGTGGGATGCCATTGCCCCAGCCAGGAATACAGCGGCTGTCGACGCAAACTTGCTGAGAGCTGCAATGCAGGACAAGAGATTTTCCTTTGGCTGAGAATGACATAATTACCTTTTGGGGCTAACACAAATATTAAGATGACATGGACATTATTTTTCATTTAAATTAAGAAAAATTCAGTACTGTGTCAATTTCTAGGAAAGGATGATCAATGGCAGTAACAGATAAGGGGTATACCAAGAACCAGGGGTCATTTCCTGCAGGAGTGCACAGGAGCGGAGCTCCGGCAGTAAAGAGCCCAGGGGGTGGGCATATGCAACAAGCCCCACCTCCTGCTCCCAGCAGCCCTCAGTCAGAGCAAGAAGCAGCCAGGTAAGTTGCAGAGCTCCCTCCGGCCCAAAACAGTCCAGTGGCACCTTTAAGGCCAAGTTTTTTCAGGTACAAGCTCTCCCTCTTCTGCAAGGACAGATCTGCATGTTCCCCCCCCCCCCCACTAGCTCGTAATCCAAACACGCCAGTGGAGCCTGAGCAGTGGGTGTTGCCTTCTGACACACTTCCAGTGATGTCAGGGGGTGTGGCATATGCAAATAAGTTATGCTAATGAGTTATGCTAATGAGCTCCTGCACCTCTTTTGCTACGAAATGACCCCTGCCAAGAACCATAAAGCAGAATGACAGATGGGAGCCAAGCAATGGGGAGGACTTGTGCAGACTATGGTCAGCTGCAGGTGAGTAGCCATCTTAGTAGAACTCAATTCAAGTCCAGTAGTATCTTAAAGACCAACAACATTTCCAAGGGTATAAGCTTTCATGAGTGAGAGCTCACTTCATCAGATACTTCATTCTATTTGTATCTGATGAGGATAATTTTGACTCACAAAAGCTTATACCCTGGGAAATTTCGTTGGTTTTAAGGTGCTACTGGACTCAAATTTTGTATCCCGAAGAGGCACCATTTTGGTTTCTGAGCCTATAAGAGAGACTGTATCTAATCTTAGTTCCGAAAAAGCGGTAGGCCTTTGCACTGCTCACCCTAGCTTGGCTTGCGAGGGAGTCCTCCACAAGACCTGGCTTTTCTTTTCTTTTCTTTTCTTAAACCCAGCCCCTGCTTCCAACACCTCAAACAGCAAGGGCATTCTGGAGGAAAAATCAAGTCAAGTTTATTGATACAGTCAAGCGACCAGTCAATTTAAAACATTCCCAAGAAGAATAACAATATAAATTACATAGTAAATACCTACATAAAATTCAAATGGATATATAAAAGAACATTAAAACAAATGCGGGAGCAACACAGTATATCTAGGATACCCAGCTTCCTCTTTTTAAGAGCCAGGAAGCAACATTTTGCCACGGCTAAAGATATCCTCTCTTTCCGGTCTTCCAGCAGAAAAGTTAAAATCCTTAATTCCGCAAATCTCAGCTGGGCATCCAAGGGTTTAAATTTGGACAATGGGAAAATTAGCAGCTGTCTCTCCCTAGCATGAAAATTACAATGCAACAGAATATGTGAGACCGACTATTTCAAGATTTGTACAAGGGCAACATCTTTGGGAAATAGGCCAACGCAGGAATCTTCCTTGTAACAAATTGGAGGATAGGGCATCAAAACGTGCTCTGGAGAATTAGCTCCTATGAGGAAGGCAGAGCCAAGCATACCTTGAGTAACACCGAGGAAAAAGAAAACGCCTACGCGGAGCTGCGTGTGCTGCTGCGTTCCATTGCAAATGGGGTCATTGGCCCAGAGGCTCAGCCAGTAGCTGCGGCTAAATGAGGCTGCCTGCTGACAGACAAAGAGAAGTACAATGTAGACCCAGAAGACGGAGCCTCCTGCTCGCAGGTAGTTTAGGTAGACTGCAGTCTTGACCTAGAAGGAAGGAAGGGACAGGGGGACTAAGATCATAGGGAAAACCAAAATGGCTGACAAAACAGTGAGCAAAGAAAGCAAGAAACAAAGGGAACAACTGGCTCATTAACAGTCAAATAGAAGTTAGTATGGTGTACAGGGGCCAAGGATCCAGAAGCCAAAACACAGGTTCCAGGATTCTTTTTTTAAAAATGCCAAGCTGCTCTGGGCGACTTGCAGTGCAGTTCTATGCAGAGATGTCTTGGTCTTCACTGATGGAAATCAGTGGGCTTAGACTGGAGTCATTCTGCACTGGACTCCACTGCTGGGGACTGAGCAGTGGACTCAAGAGAGGCAGAAGCTTCTTAACCTTTACCCTGCTGGTCATTTCTCTACTCAGAATTGCCCCCTTCAGTTGCTGTTCTGCCGGGAAGAGAAACACAGTACCCCACTTACAGCATAGACTGGCCCAGCGGCAAATCTGTAGTTTAAATATCAGCAATTGTGTCTCATTCCCCTTCCTATCCGCAAGAGGAACAAAAAGTGGGGTGTTGTTTTTTTGGGGGGGAATAAATACTCCTGCAACAAATATGCAGGGGGGGGGATCCAAACCAGCTCTGCAGGAGAAGACTATCTTGTATTCTCAGTTCAAGAGAATGTAGCTTATTCCCAACTATGGATGGTTGCTTCAGATATTTCGACTTGCAGGACTCAAAGGGGACAGGGAAAGAGGCCATAAGCATTTCTCCATACGTGGAGAGCCAGTGCGGTGCAATGGTTATAGACAGAAAATGGGTTGCTACATGGGAAGAATCTAACACAGCTGCTCCTCTGGAACTTTATACTGCTCTGCCATGAAGTTTGCAGGGTGGCCTTGGACCCCTTGCCATCTCTTGGCCTAGCCCAGAGGTCATTTCGGGGGGGATCGCGGGGGATCGCAGTTCCCCCGGGTGAGGTACGGGGGCGGGGCACATGACGAAGCCCCGCCCCCTGCTTCCGGCCGCCCCGCTTCCGACCCTCATTCACCCAGGAGGAGGCAGGAGAAGAGGGAGGGTAAGTTGCTTCCTCCCTGCCTCTCCCCACCCCTGCCTGCCTGGGGCCAGGGAGGGCCTTCGCGGGGCTTCCTTGCAGTCCCGCCGGCCTTGCAGGTCCACCGCCGGGCCCCTCATGGGGCTCGGCAGTGGAGCTGCAAGGCCGGCGGCGGCAGCCGGGACCGTTGGGGGCGGGGTGTGTGGCCTTATGACACACTTCCGGTGATGTCAGGGGGTGTGGCCTTATGACACACTTCCGGCGATGTCAGGGGTGTGGCATATGCTAATGAGTTATGCTAATGAGTTCCCCTAGCTCTTTTTCTACGAAACGACCCCTGGCCTAGCCTACCTTACAAGATTGTTGTGAGGGTCAAACTGTGAGGTCAGGTGCTTTCAGCATCAACCCTGAAGGACAAGCTAAAAACAAAAGCAAACAAGCTTTCTCTCAAAGAGCACTTTGGCATCTATACCTACCTCCTGTGACATTTGTATGGGCTTCTATCAGAGGACTGGTTGTGATTCAAAGCACAGGATCAGTAGCGTGAAGCAGGGCCGAGATCAGTCTGACAGCCAAAAGTACACATGAGCAATACAAATGGAAGGGGCCAGAGGCAAGCAGCAGAAAAATGCAGGCAGGGTCAAGGGCCAGGAACCAGGCCAGGTTATGAAAGAAAAAGCACTTAAGCTTAGTCTGGGACATGTGCTGAAAAGCTGACCAAACTTTATGTGCTGAAAAGCTTTATAGGGCCCGAGGCTGTGTGATTGGCTCCTCGAATCATTTGCTGGAAGCTACTCGGAGGATCTCAGGAACCACAGCCCAGGGGGGTGCAGCAGCATCTGGCTATGTGGTACAGGAGCTCCAGGCCCACACAAGGAATTTTTTAAAATTATTTTTTCTCATACAACATAACAAGATATAACATTTGACTAATATCAAGAAAATCTAGTTCAATGATGGTCTACATAATAACTGTGGAATTAGCATATTTCATAACAGAATTATACCTTTTAACAGTTTCTATATCACAGAAGTATCACCTACTTCAAAAATACAGTAAGTTTTTAAGGTGGGCCTTTTGGGGGATGATTTCACCTTCTGCAAGATATTGAACCACTGGGAATCAAACTGCTTGAAATTTTTTTGCATTCTCTTGTGTTTGTTGAGAAGTCATTTTCCCATAGGTAAAGTGTTCCCATAATTTGTTTTGCCAGTCAGATATGTTTGGGATGTTTTTTTCTTTCCACTTCTGTGTGATGGTTATTCTAGCTATTGCTAGTAAAGTGGAAATTAATATCTGCTGTGTTTTTCTTTCACAGGTTTCCGGGAGTACAGAGGGATCCCGGTTTGAGTCCCACCCTGGTGCTTTACAGCTTCCAACAACAAGGACAAGTTGCACACTGGCCAGTGGGAGGAATGTGAGCTTTATGATGAAGCCTGGTAAAAGAAGAGCGAGGGCCCCGGCAGTGCAAGTCCACCCTCCCCCTGCATGTCTGCAAATATCAGAAGCTGAACATGGGCCATGCTTTCCTGTGGGTCAACAAGCACTGATCACTTCCAGCCTATTATTGTTTAGTACAATACTTATGGCAACAATACAGAACAAAAAAGTTGCACATCCTATAAGTGGGGGAAAAGTCTCCCATGTTACCCTGCCAGTTAATTCTCTTTCTTCTCCTGTTATTGGTTCTGTCATTTCTTCCTCTGTAGGTCTGTGTCCAACACTCTCAAGCCTTCATGGAAACAAACAAACAAAAGTTTTAAGGTTGAAAACATGCATTGCACTGTACTGCACTGCAAGCACTTTTCTTGCAACACAATAAAGTATCCTGCTGCTAGTTGCACCAATTTATTATTGTAAATTGCACCAATTTATTATTTTGAAAACTTCATCCTTTACCAAAATAACACTCAGTGCAGCTTAAAGGTACTAAATACTTTAAAATCAGATGCACTAAACAGAAATAAAGGAGTCATAACAAAAATAAGGAACATGCATACTGGATGGGGGATACACTTCTGGGTAGCAGTGTGAGTGAACAAAATCTTGGGGTAAGGGTGGACTGTAAGTTAAGTATGAGCAGGCAGGGTGATGCAGAGACAAAAAAGGCTAATGCGATTTTGGGGTGTATCAACACCCTAATGTCACAGTCCCGCTGTACACCATATTGGCCAGGCTGCACCTGGAGTATTGTGTGCATTTCTGGAGGTCTCATTTCAAAAAGGATGTGGACAGAACAGAGCGGGTACAGAGGAGAGCAACGAGGGTGATCGGGGGCCTGGAGACCAAGCCCTATGAGGAAAGGCTGAGGGACCTGGGAATGTTTAGTCTGGAGAAGAGGAGGCTGAGGGGGGACAGGATTTGTTCTCTTGAAGTATTCGAAAGGCTGTCACTTAGAGGAGGGTAGGGAGCTATTGTGAGCAAGCGATTTGGCTACTGCATAAGTTAGTTTGCTCTGGAGCCATCCTTCTTGAGCTAAGACAAAAATGTGTGAGCCGGAGGCTTAAAAACCTCATCTTAGAGGGAACACTGGTCAGCATGGGTGCCCCTTCACCTCTGAAGTCTGGAAGCACTTCCAGGTGACAGAGAATCCCCACTTTGCACAGTGCCAGCTGTGTAGGGCCCGGGTAAGTCGAGGAAAGGACTTCAACCATCTCTCGACCTCTGGGCTGCAGAACCATCTGAAGAAGCACCACCAGGCGGTGCTTCTTCAGGGGGAGAGACAGGCTGCTGCTGGGGTGCCCAAGCGGCCATTGCCAGCCAGCCACGAGGCCTCGTTTCTGGAGCCAGCTGCAGGACGTGCAGACATACTTCCAGAGGTGTGTGTGCTGGTGAGAAGGCTGCAAGACAGACTTGAGGACCGCTTTCAGTCTATCCTCCGGCAGAAGGTCTACATGATGGCGATCATGTGTGACCCGCGCATCAAGGGCAAGATCGCTGAGCAGGCCAATGAGTCCACTCAATGGCAAGACATGCTCTCCTGGTGAGTTGAGTGTAGGCGGGCCAAGAGGGCCACGTTGCCACAAGCTGTTCGTCCCCCACCTCCCCTGCTAGGCAGCATCTCTCCCACGGCTCCCGCCGTGGTGACTGTTGAGATGGCAGTTATCGGGCGGATCTTTGGCCCCTCTCCTGGGAGTAGCAGGCGCACGAGAGAAGACACAGCCGCTGCGATGGTGAGGGAGTCTCTTTCGGAACCCTACAAGTCGCAGGCAACCTGTCCACTGAGCTACTGGGCCATGAAAGAGGTGGTCTGGCCAGACCTCTCTGCCGTGGCCCAGAAGCTCCTCTCATGCCCTCCGACGAGTGTGCAGAGTGAGTGCGTTTTTCCCCATGCGGGTGACACTGTCTGCTTGCATCGCTCACGCCTGCTCCCCTGGTTAGTTGAGCAGTTGGTCTTCCTGAAGGTCAACTTGCCACTGTTCGGTTTCCCGGTCCTAGACTTTGAGGGTGATTGAAGTGAGCATGCATACTTGTGCCTGCATCCCCTCTCGGTCTGTGCTGGGAAGCTGGGTTCCAATGCTCTTCCCATGATTAAAACTAGAGAGGCTATGGGAAAGTAGCAGCCATGACCATTTTGATTGGCACAGAAATGGCCCACCTATCTCCCCACTTCCATCCATCCCACCGGCAGCAGAAATACCTCCACAGAACCCTGGTAGCCATGCAGTGCAGGGTGATGTTGAGGGTGGTGCGTGTATGCGCCTGAGTCACACTACCAGCCACCCCAAACCAAAATTGCATGCTGAAATTAAAACAGCAGCACAAAAATTGTTCTCCATATGAACAAGGTAGAGTAGGGTAGATGCCAAGCAGCCAGACAGAAACCAGCAAGAACCCACAGGAGCACCGTAAATAATAATGAATGTAAATGCATGTTAATTGAAAAGTAATTTTTTTTTTTGCAGGGGTGAGGTGGGAAAGGGAGAGCCTGTGAAGAAGGGCAGTTGCTGCACCTAGGCTAAGCCTCCTCCACTGAGGCAGGCAGTGATGGATGGTGTACTGCTGCTGAGAGAGGAGGATCAGTGGATTGGACAGACAGACACTACCCCCTCCCTCTCACTTTGTGAGGCATTGGTGGGCAGGGCTTCTGCTGCTGCTGGCCTGGCAAGCATGCTCCCTCAGTTTATGCTGCAGAGATTCTCTGATTTGACCTGAGTCCAGTTGGGTTTGGGCACTGACTGCCAGTGGCACAGGTTCTGGGGGCCACATTGCACAGGTTCTGCTGCTGGCCTGGCAAACATGCCCCCTCACTTACTTTCTTACAGAGAGATTCTTGGGGAGACACTGCTGCCTGCCTTTTCCCCATCCCCATAGAAAACAATGAATTGGGGGGCACCCTCTTTGGATGCCCCTGGAATTGGACCCCTTGGTCCAATCTTTTCAAAACTTTGGAGGTCTTTTGAAGAGAGGCTCCAGCAGCTACAGTACAAATTTGGTGCCTCTAACTCAACCTCCTCCCAGCCCCCCTGAAATCTTGTTAGAAGATTTTTGCCATTGACTACAACAGCACCATAAGATATAATGGAGCCAAATAATTTCGGGAATGCTGAACTTTTTCGGGTATCAGTACAATATCGGTATTGGTATTCTGGTTTTTTCGGTATTCCCGAAAAAATTCGGCTTCAATATAACTGAATCCGGAAAAAAACGATTTTTTCCCCTTGCACACCCCTAGTTCTAACTAGTTCTGTCAGTAAAAGGCAGGGGAAGGGGGTAGGGCCCCTTTCAGGCCTATTTTGGCCTTTCAGGGAGGGATCCTTAGGGCCAGGCTTGACAAGGGCTGCCAGTGCCCGGCTGGGAAATTCCTAGAGATTTTGTGGTGGAATCTAAGGAGGACTGGGTTTGCGGAAGAGAGAGGCCTCATCTGGATATAATACCTCAGAGTCCAGTCTCCAAAGCAGCCATTTTCTCCAAGGAGACAGATCTCTGCTGTCCCGAATTCAGTTCTAATTCTGGGGGATCTCCAGGTTCCACCTGGAGGTTAGCAACCCTAGGCCTAGCAGCACCCTCTAGGTGACTTGATACCGCCTGACTTACATGACTTAACTTGGTCTGGTTGCTTGCTACTGTTCAACAGCAGCCACCCTATGAAAGCCAGTGTGGTGCAGCAGTTAGAGGTTCAAAATAGGGTCTGCAAAGCCCAGGTTCAGATCCCCATCTTGCGATGGAAGCTGACTGGGTGATTTTGAACCCGTCACATACTTTCAGCCTAACCAACCTCACAGGGATGTTGTGCAGATAAAAAGGAGGAGAGAATAATGTAAGCTGCTTTGATCCCCACTGTGGAGAAAGACTGTAATTTTCCTAGGCAGAGGGGGGGGAGACAGAAAGCTGAAGAAGGAAATAGGGTTGCCAACTCCACGTTGGGAAATTCCTGGACATTTGACGGGTGGAACCTGGGGAGGGTAGGCTTTGAGGAGGGGAGGAACTTCAGGTTGGTATAATGCCATAGACCCTCAAAACCAGCCATTTCTTCCATGGGAACTACTATTCCCAGCCTCCAGGTGACAGCTGGATATCACCCAGAATTAGAAGTGCTGTCCAGGTGAGAGAGATCAGTTCCCCTGGATAAAATGGCTGCTTTGGAAGGTTGAGTCTATGGCATTATACCCTGCTGAGGCTGCTTCCCTCCCCAAGCCTCGCTGTCCCAAGGCTCCACCCCCAGATCTCCAGGAATTTCCCGAGCTGGAAGCCCTAAGGTGAATTGATCTCTGTAGCTGGGAGATCCGTTGTGATTCCCAGAGAGCTGCCACTGCTGCTATGACGGGAGAAGCAGGTGGGTGGCGGGGAGCACCACCACCTCTTCTGCTGTGTGGGGTGGGGGAGGAAGCAGGCAGGAGGCTGGGAGAGTGATGGGGGCAGAAAGAGAGTGATGGGGGGCAGGAAGAGAGAGAAAGAGTGATGAGATGGGGAGACAGAAAAACAAAGAGAATGATGAGGGGGCAGAAAGAGAGTGGAAGTAACATGCATGGAGGAGAGATAGAGAATAAGAAAAGGGGGGAAGAAAGAGAGGTGAGAGAGGTAGAGGGGAGGAAGCAAAGGTGTGAGGAATGGGACAACTGCACCACAAATTTCTTGCGGGTCCCCACTTGTAACAATATAAAAGAAATCCCCTCTGAGGGGCCTCTGAGCTTAGGCATCCTTTGGAGACTCAGTGCAATTTCTACTTACTTTGCAAGCTTTCCTTGATGGGTCACATGCCCTGGTGGAATCATCTCATGACTATTTCCTGCACCTGTTGAAAGTAAAACCTGTGAAAATGCATGACTCAGTCACATTGGAAAGGTAATATCTGGAGGTTCACTTCCTTCCACAGGAACCTGCCCATCTATCAAGATTTTTTCTCACTGCTTCTTAGGTGGGTAGCTGCTAGAGATAATGGCCTTTTCAATGTTGGCATCCCCATTATTCTTCTCTAGACATTAGAATCACCTTTTACTTGCTAGCTAAAGACTGGTCTAAACATATAGCAGAATGAGGTGGCAGGATTCTGAAGGTGTTAGAATGGGCTGTACCATCCAGGTAAGGGTATAGTTACATTCTTAATGCTCATCCATTACAAAAGCTTCATAAAAAAACCAAAAAATAAGTCTATCTGTTTCAGAAAAAAAGCTCCTTAAATAAATAAACATTTCAGAAAAAAAATGCATGGACTCATATCAGTTTGCCCTAAAGGACCATTCTTCTCTGAAGCAATACTACGTATTCTGATGTTACATTTTCCTACATCTATAGATGTGCTACCAAAGAGCACACAAGTGTCCCTTCAAGGTAAGAAGCCAATGAAGTAGTACGAGAGGGGTGGGGTGGAAATCATCTCCCATGCATCCAACCCCCCCCCTCCCAAATTTCCCTTTCCAGGATTATAGATGCTGTCCGTGACTTCAGCAGGCTACTTTCCCTATTTGATTCTCAGCTGCTTTTAGAATTCCATGCCTTTCAAAGCATACTCAGTTCTCATCAGGTCATGCTTGAGTTATGTTTGGCTAATTTACAGCTGTTGGGTTTTTGTTTTGGTCCACTGTATGCAGAAACCAGTATTACACCTGAGTGTTTTACTGCTTTTGTGATGGGCATGAGTCATCCACTAGACTATTAGTATAGTAATAATGAAGCAGCCCTAATACAAACAAGCCTCAAAGGCTGGTGGGCTCATTCCATTCAGACTGTCAATAAAGTAATCAGCTTGTTGCCTGAACTGAGAAGGTACAGAGGGTGGCCTGCAATACCTTGTAAAGCCTGGTCTTCTTTCTCTTTGGTATTGTGAGACCTCAGGAATTCTGCAAAAGCTCCTCCTCTCTGCACAAGTTCTTGGAAGCAGCCAGTTTCGGAAATCTGTCCATTAGCAATCACAATAATGTCATCCACTTGGGGTAAAAGGTGGACTGCATTAGTCACCAGAAGACGAGTCTGGGAAGAAAAGAAACAATCCCAATCTGTTTCATTAAGACTGAATAAATGCATTTTTGGGTGGAGGTCTGAAATGAAAGTAAAACCTTCA